AAGCGCGAAAATCACAATTACCTCAAAAAGTCGCAAAGATTCTTCCACTGGGCGATTGCGCCATGGTGAGGCAGCTACATCAAATCCACGCATTTCATCGACGGTCTGATGGCAGACATATGCCAAATCCTTCTTTATCAGAACAACAGCCCATTCGTAGAGTTGATCGAAGTAATCCGATGAATGAGTGATTTTGTACGGTGAATAGCCTGTGAGGATAAGAAAAAGAAAAAAATTACAAACACAAATTGTCGTGGAAAAATTGAAATAATAGACCGGAAGGATTGTACTCAGGCGTCATGTGTAAGGTGATATTTTACGGTAGTAATTTCTCGTTTTATTAAAGCAGCTAGGGAAAATAACTAATTTAATTAATAACACAAGAAACTAGGCTTAACTTACCTAACCATTTTACCATTTCTTCAATATTTTTCACAAATTTTTCGTCTTCGTTTTCTGGATTGGTATCATCAAATCGAAGATAGCAGATTCCACCATGAGCCTAAATTTGATATTAAAAATACCAAAATCGACTAGATAATCAGTGTGAGAAGCCTACGCAACACTACTGGGATGTCCCCACATGCCAAGCAAAGCTATGCCAGTTGCTTAAAATAAACTTGCATGCCCTCACTTGATAACTAAAACAATAATTGGCCAGCGCATGTCGGTGCGATGATTCGTTTTTTCCATAGTTCCCCGCAAATTTTTGTCGCTAATGGCACTGTTTTTCCGGCAGAACTTCTTACTAAGAGAAATGAAACTAGCACCAGGGCTGTCAGAAAACATCCCCAAAAAATTTCAGTTTTCTAGCTTTTCTGGTTCTCGAGTTAGCAGCTAACCTGCCAAAAACTTGTTCTAGATACTGGCACAAAAATAAAAAAATTCTAGAACTCATTCAAATTTTTGCGTTTTCTACATGCTCTGTTGGTACCTACATGTTCTATTGGCTCATCAAAGCATCTTCTAAATGAATGGAAGCTTTGCCAGTGGGAAATCCACGCTGATTCTGACAAAGCGTTGTATTCAGATGTCTTTCAAACATATCCAACCCGAATAAAATCATGATATATATAGAAAAGAAGGCCCTGC